CTCTACTGTATTTTGCAGTCTGTAAAAACTCATCTGTCACCTTTTAGTGAGTATGGAAAACATCTCTGCCTTGTTTTTAGCATATGCCGCTTTGCAGACAATGTGTATGGATGTGATGGAAATTACTAATACTTGCAAGTGAAATGTGCACCTGCCAGATTTCCTTTCTGACTAGGTTTACAGCAGCTTACTCTGCTGATTTCAACAAACTCTTTGCTTACACCGCTACAAATGGAGAATTAAGCAAAAGAGTTCAGAGTAGGAAATAGAGCATCTCCTTTGCGGCTTCTGAACCGCCTGCAATATCTCCCAGGGCCTAATCTTTGAGGTATTTAAATATGTAGAGTCAGAGAGACAACTCTGTGCTCAGCATTAGGTACACAGGAAAGGACTTGGTTGCAATAGAGTCCTGAGGGTTTATACTCCAGTCCTCAAAGCAGTTAGCTGTAGATAATACCCTAATTTCGGAGACAAAGTGCCTTCAAAAGTAAGGTAATTCTCTTTTTCAATGTACTGCATGGCAGTTATGTTTTAGACAGCTGCATCTTTTCATTGCTACGCAGTATTTACCATCCTCTTTCCCAAGATTCCCTTGCCCTATTTTCAGAAGTTTGCCTTGAAGTACTACTGATTTTCTTTGGCCTTGAATATTATGCATTATAAATATGATTTGCTTAGAAGTTTGTAATGCCTTTTTATCAGCGGTTGGTATGACTGTGCAGCTGTTTGGCAATTACATACTATGGAGCTGAACAGAAACTTTAAGACATGAAGCATTTCTAGGGAAGTTTGATAGTTGAAAAAAACCTGACCTAAAAGTGAAATCTCAAATACTGGAAAAAAGGAAATAGACTTTTCTCTGCAAATGCTATGATGTTTTTGAATGTCAATGCATTTGAAGGAATATCCACCAGGAGATCACTGTTCTTAGCACCATTTTATATCGTATTTCCTCCGGTAGCGAAAATTAATTTTAAATGTCATCTGTTTAATTGTTTGTTATGCCTAATTAAAACTGGTAATTTATTTGATTTATTTGTAGCCTACTTAGTGCATTGCTTTCTCTAAAAAATTACAGGAATTTGATTTGTAATTACAAGGATTGTATTTCCTTAAATATCTCTTTCACAGTGTTTTTACCCTGGACAAAAATAACGCCATTTTGGTAATGGGTAGTTCTATCATTTTTGAAAGACGGATCATGGACAAAGGGAGTTTTGTATCTTAATGACAAATTATTCTCACTCTACAGATGGTAAACATGATATCAAGAAAATGCGCTTTCTTACCTTCAGAAAGATTTAGCAGCCTGTGCCCTTGTTTATTTTCCCAGTGACTTACCAGAGCTTATGTTGTGGACTGGGGCATGCAGCACAAATGGAGGTGCATTGGGCTGGGGAGGCCAGAACTAAAGTGCATTCCCTGGAGCAGTAGTTGTAAAGGCTCATGATGGAAAGCAAAATAAATCTGAAGCAGTGTATTCTGGGAGAAGGAGTAGGTGCTTATAAAAACTAATAAAAAATTCCAAGATCTGTTTAGTGATGTGGTATTTAAGAAAAATAAATTGATTAGATAAGATGGGCATTTTTCACAATGAACATTTTCAAAATAATATGGAAAGGGCAAAAATACGGAGGTTTTTCATCTTTCTTTGCTGATGCAAAATTGACCTTTTTAGCGGGCTGTTTTGTGCGTCAAAAAATACTTCTGGACAAATACTTAAGCAGCATATTGCTAAAATATCTTGAATGTAGACACTGAGAGCTGTCAATCTCAGTAAGGTGCTGCTCTCCTAGTGGTCTTTAGAGCTAGTGGTGACCCTCATGTGAGAATGCTGTGACTCTGAAAATTGATCCTTGGCAGGGAGAGGGGCACACTTGCCTAATCTTATTTAGTGCTCATACTGTGAGATCAAAATCAGGGTGCATGAAGAAGCCAAAAAATTCCTTGGCATCTTGCTAGTGAGGGGCAATTACATCCACCAGAGCTGCTGCAGTGCGGAGTGGAGTCCTCTACTGACAGGAATCATAGAATGGCCTGGGTTGAAATGGACCACAATGATCATCTAGTTTCAACCCCCCTGCTATGTGCAGGGTCACCAATCACCACACCAGGCTGCCCAGAGCTACCTCCAGCCTGGCCTTGAGTGCCTCCAGGGATGGGGCATCCACAACCTCCTTGGGCAACCTGTTCCAGTGTGTCACCACCCTCTGTGTGGAAAACTTCCTCCCAATATTTAACCTAAACTTCCCCTCTCTCAGTTTAAAATCATTCCCCCTTGTCCTATCACTATCCACCCTCGTGAACAGCCATTCCCCTTGCTGTTTATATGCTCCCTTCAAGTACTGGAAGGCCACAATGATGAAGTCTTACCAGAGCCTTCTCTTCTCCAAGCTGAACAAGCTCAGTTCCCTCAACATTTCCTCATAGGAGAGGTGCTCCAGCCCTCTGATCATCTTAGTGGCCCTCCTTTGGACCCGCTCCAAGAGCTCCACATCCTTCCTGTACTGGGGGCCCCAGGCCTGGACGCAGTACTCCAGATGGGGCCTCACAGGAGCCGAGTAGAGGGAGACAATCATCTCCCTCTCCCTGCTGGCCACCCCTTTTTTAATGCAGTGCAGAACACAGTTGGCCTTCCAAGCTGCAAGCACACATTGCTGGCTCATGTCCAGTTTCTCATCCACCAAGACCCCCAAGTCCTTCCCACAGGGATGTTCTCCAGGAGATCTTCCCCCAGTTTGTACAAATAACTTGGATTGCCTCAGCTCACATGCAGCATCCTGCACTTGGCCTTATTGAACCTCATTAGGTTTTCATGGGCCCACTTCTCCAGCCTGTCCAGGTCCCTCTGGATGGCTTCCCTTCCTTCCAATGTATCAAGTGAGGAACTGGACATCAGTTCTTGCTGTGGTCCATTACTACAGTCTTAAGTGCGTGCATGTATGCACTTTTTAAGAGCTCATGGGAGCTTATTACTTGGTGAACGCAAATTCCCCTTTTCGTGCTGTTGCAGAATGCTATGCTTGCACAGACAGTTGAAAGTTTATTTACTACAAAATATTTCAAGTATGTTTGCTTTTTAAGGCTTGGCAATATCTTGTCAATCTTCTTTATCATTTTAATGATTAACTGAAAGAGATTTAATATACCTTTTTTTCCCTATGGGGCATCTTAGAGAAAGTAACACCAACACCCCATTGTGCAGCTGCAATTCCTGAGGTAGCAACAAAATCTGAATAGGTTTATGTTCTTATCTGTTTGCACTGACTGTGTTATATTTACTTTTCTTTCTCAGGACTTAGAGAAGTACTAAAATTAGGTCAGATGATGCCTCCTTCCATTTAAATTCTAAATGTAAACAAGAATTGAAACAAATATTTGCTGGCTTTTTGTAAACAGTAAGATATTTGAATATTTTTGAGGCCATGACTTTAGTTTAAGCCCCCTCTACAGTCACTGAAGATAAACAGGTCTCCAGTACAGGTTTATCAGTCCATGTAGGTGTGAATTGTTCACTGGAACGACCTATCTCTCTTTATTTACCTGGTGTAGGGAACCTGCTTTGGCAGGGGGGTTGGACTCGATGATCTCTGGAGGTCCCTTCCAACCCCTACAATTCTGTGATTCTGTGATTGACGACAGAGAACAGTAGGGCAAATAAATTCAAAGCTCAGTCCTGTCACCTGTAGGATGACATGAACAGCCTATTGCTCAAAGCAACGTCAGCCACGAGATCAGCCCAAATGGCTTTTACCCACTTGGATCATGAAGACCCCTGATGTCTGAGAGGGACTCTCTGGATGGCACGTTACAGCGTCTGACTGTTTTCATGGTGAAAAAGTTTATCTTCATATCAGTCTAAATCACATTTCAAATTTTGCCTGCTGTCTTACACCACGTCACCATGCATGGCTGTGGAGAGCCCGGCCCCATCTTCTAACTCTGGAGGGCTGCTCTTTGGCTTCCCCGAAGCCATCTCTCCTTAAGGCAGAACAGGCCCTGCTCCCTCAGCATCTCCTCACAGGGCAGGAGCTCCAAGCCCCCAACCATCATGGTGGTTACACATGGTCTGGTTTATTCATATTGTTCTTGTACTCATCACTGAACTCATCTACCACAATTGATTTTCATCTTTAAATCCTTTCACTAAACTCAGAAACAAAACACTGCTAGCAAAGAAAGGTAGAGACACTCAGTGCTTACCTGTTTTGGCTTTTACTAAATCACCATCCAGCAATGAGTCCACATTATGCTAGTTCAGCATGTTGCTATGAACGTACTAGCACAAGCTCTTTTTGCTGTTCTTAATGTATCTTCCAGTTTCTATCACAGGTAACCTTTGGCTTTTCTGACACCATTCCAACGTGCTGAAGTAATGTTTTTAAATTCCGTACTTGTCCTTCTTCCTGTATATTACCTCTTACTGTTGCCTCTGTGCTGAAAGTCCCCTGGTTAGTCAAGCCAATTTTCTGGTATTTTTGCTAGTCTTCTTGAATATTGGGAAGGACTGCTCTTAGTAGGACATGGTCATGAAAGATTTGCTAGCTTCCTCCAATTGCTTTACTTGTTAAAGCTGCCATAGGATCACACCTAGGCATTTTCCTAAATAAGTTGAAGTCTACTGTTCTGAAATTTCAGGTCTTTACTCTGCTATCTTGCCCTAAATATCAAGAAGTAAAGCCCAGCACAGTTTTCCAGCTTACATTCAGCATGAAATATCCTTATCTTATTTAAGCCCTAATTTTTCTACTTCTCTTATTTTGGTTAATGGATCATGCCATTATTTTGTTTATATAAGGGAATAAGTTTTTTATTATTGAAATACACTAATATTTTAGGCAATCAAATCACCTCTTGATCCTTATTTGTTGAATTCATTCTTATCTCAGTTTCAAGGCACCACCGTTAGGAAGCAGCTGTACGAACAGGTGACTCATGCAAGCAGGTGGAAATTATCTGGAATATAGGAAGGTTTCCTGAAGCAGATATAATTAAGCATTAGAGCAGAGAGAGTGTTTAGAGAGCTGCTAGAGGTATAATCTGTTTTAGGTAGAAGGAGGAAAAAGAAAAAACAAAGCACAAAAACCTTGGGTTTATATTTTGTTATTGTTAGAGTTAACAATAAAAGTCAAAGCTTAGGGAGTGAGTAAGTTTTGACTCTATAGAGCATCTGTTGACTAATCAAAGTAGGTATTCTAGACTTTACCTTCCAACTGTTCTTTAGATTGAATGTTTACAGTCAATAAAAAGATAATATATTTTTTTCACTCTGAGAGGGATTTTGTTATTTAACTGGCTGCTTTTTGCATTCTAAATGGAGTAAATTAACTCATTTTCAGTACACATCAAGAATTTATTATTAACTGTTAGGCTTGAACATGTTGATTTTTTTTCTTAGATTTTACTTCTGTAGCAGGTATGAGCTGAAATAAGATTCTTCTCACACTGCATCAATTTCCACATCTTATCTCAAGCGCTTTTTATTTCTTGAGAGTATGTAGGCGTGTATATAGAAGCTTTAAAAAAAAAAAAAAAAATGTGTGTGTGAGAAGATCACATTTCTGATGATCTGTTTGATTCTTCAGCTGTTGTTTTCAGGTGAAGTTCCATGTCTGTGAAAAGCTTCCTTAACTTAATAAGGACTTGGTTAATGAATGTACTGAGTTTGGGACTTCAGTCTCGTATTTTCTGAGAAGTCATACTAAGGAATAAAATAAACATGCATTAGTTTTGTTTTATAGCTTCAAGGCTGTAATAAGGAGAAGCTGATGCTCTCCTGACATGAGAGCCTGATTGTTGTTGTTCTAGAAGCTTCTTTCAGAGAGCTGAGATTTCCAAAGTCTGTGGTGAAATGATAGTGTGACTATCCAGTAATTTTCCATACAGGGAGGCTTCTAGCTGGCACTTTCTGTGCTGTGTGACCCATGTACATCCAAGCTGTGAAATGAAGATCTGAAGGGGATTTGGCAAAGAGGTTTTTTTTCTGTTTGCTTCTTTGTTTTTAGGAAAAAATGTGAAAATGCAATTAGTAATAACAGAAGTTCATGCTTTAAAGTGAGCGCTCCTTTATGGGAAGAGATGGCAGTGGAGCTAGTATTCCACCTGAATTGTACAAGCATGGAAGAGCTTTTCATTCTTGAAGTGCCAAGAAACTTGTGGAGCCCTTGTCTCAGCTAGAGGAAGGTGAGCTGTTCCTGCCTGCTGCGGTGTGACAGCTGTGCTCTGCTTCCTGCAAGCCTGCACTGAGCTGAGGAGTGCCACTATGCCCGTTGTCCCTTCCATCCCTGCTTGGGACTAAGGGCCTTGAGCCCACAAGTCCATGGGTGGGAGTATAATGGATTTCCCTTCTCTGCTGTTTAGAAGAGCAAGGAAGCCTCTGGGGGAAGGGGCAGAGGCTAATAATCTTCCCTGGTGTTTCCTAATGATGATTATATAGGCTCTTTGGGAGAGTGCTTTTTGTCTTGAGAACTCCATTTCTAGCTGTTTTTCTCCATCTGTTGTCCTGTTAGGCTAAGCACTGAAGATGAGGATGTGTTTCTGCAGCTAATTGCCCATGTGATACCAAGGTCCTGCTCTGCTGTGGGCTGCAAGGCACTGCAGGCTCTGGAGACTCCAAACCTTAGGCTTTCATCCACCAATCAGTGCAAAGAGCAAGCTGGCCTTGTTAAGGTGCCTTTGCTTTGATACCATAAACAGCAGAGACTCAGGGGCTACTGGCCACCAAGGCAGGCACTGATTATTTAGTTCTGGTTTGTGTTTTCTGTACAGTGCTCTCTGTATGTGAAGCAGTATAATTGAAACCATTCTTTTTGTTAGTCTGACTGCTGTGACATCTGTGGATATAAAGGCATTTTTTTAATCTCTCGAGTAAAATATTGTTAATTGCTGGCTCAGACAGATTAAGTGAGTAGAAAGGATAACGTGCAGAGAACTATACTCAGAAATAACAGATAAGACCCTGATTGATATACAAATGTATAGTAAACTTAATTGTATGGGGTATTGTGTCTAGCATAATTTTCTCATCCTAATAGGGAATGAAACCGCATTTCTTTAGAAATCAGATAAAGAAAAATTTAACAGGTCATTTTAGAAACTTCTGCATAATACTCTCAAACCCCCTAATTGTTCTCATAAATGCAGAGTTATATTTGGACTACCTAGCCCAGATAAAATAAGACCTCACACAACCCTCTTATGTGCCAAAAGTGGCACTCAGACATCACAGTCTGTGATCTGTGAAGACGTTCTTGGATCTGTGAAACTTCTGGTGTCTAATTTTGGTCAGTAAATTTCCCTTAGTGTTTACAGTTCGTCAACTGTGTTAACCCACAAGGGCTGCCTCCATGGGAGTTAGCTTATTGCCAAAATGTTTGGTGAGTAGTATTACATTCAGTGTTAAATAAGTTCTTCAAGAAGTAAAGACCGGATCCTGGGACCTGTGATGCACAAGCCCTGCATGAAAGAATGTCGCAGTGAAGAGTAATAGTGCAAAATGTGGCTGCAGGGCAGCTAGCATTTCCAAAGGGGAAATTAAAAAGGAAAAAAAAAAAAAAAAAAAAGTAGGGAAGTGGATGGGGGAGGAAAGCAACTAGAGATGATAACATTGTCCTTCTCTCCACATATGTTTTAAAAGAGAAGCATAATCCAATCTTATGTACAGAGGTAGCTGTGGACAATTCAGTGCTGTCTTGGTTCTAACCTGGATATGATTTGGACACGTCTTGAATCATGGAATCATTTGAGTTGGAAGGACCCTTGAAGGTCACCTAGTCCAACTCCCCTGCAATCAACAGCAGCACCTACAGCTAGCTCAGGTTGCTTAGAGCCTGATCCAACCTGAACTTGAATGCCTGCATCCACCACATCTCTGGGCAGCCTGTTCTAGTGCTTCACTGCTGTTATTGTTGGGGAAAAAAAAAAAACAACAAGCCCTTCTTCTTTATATCCAATTTAAGTCTCCCCTTTTTCAATTTGAAACTCTTCAGTTTGGAGGGAGTTCAGATGAGGGCCGTGAGAACGATCAGAGGGCAGGAGCACCTCCCCTATAAAGACAGACTGAGAGAGCTGGGCTTGTTCAGCCTGAAGAAGAGAAGGCTGTGAGGAGACCTCACTGCAGCCCTCCAGTATTTAAAAGGGGTTTATAAGCAGGAGGGGACTCAACTTTTTACGGGTATAGACAGTGATAGGACAAAGGGGAATGGTTTTAAGCTCAAGGAGGGAAGGTTTATATTGGATTGGATGCCTGAGGACGTTCTTTACAGAGAGAGTGGTGAGGTGCTGGAACAGGCTGCTCAGAGATTGTGGTTGCTCTGTCTCTGAAGTTTTTAAGAGCAGGTTGGACAACCTGATCTAGTACCAGATCTGGAGGTTGGTGGCCCTACCTATTGCGGGGGGGGGCTGGAACTTGGTGATCCTTGGGGCCCTTTCCAAGTTAAGCCATTCTATGAAACCATTTCCTGTTTTTTGTGTCCCTGTCACCACAGACCCTGCTAAAGAGTCCATCCCCTTCTTTCTTACAGCTCCGCTTTAGATACTGAAAGGCCACTCTGAAGTCTCCCCAAAGCTGTCTCTTCTCCAGGCTTAACAGCCCAAGGTCTCTCACCTGTCTTTGTAGGGGAGGTGATCCATCCCTTGGATCATTTTTGTGGCCTCTGCTTGGTATTTCCTACTGGCTAGTTCAAGAAGTATGTAAATCCCATTTCAAGATGCTCAACTTCACCATATCCTGCATAGGCAGCCCTGGTGCAAGACAGAAACCACAAATTCTATTCCAATAATAGAATTTGTTGGTTGAAGTTGTCTGCAATCTGTGAAGAAGATAGACTTAAGACATCAAAAGCAAATGTTTTCAAAGTTCTGTTTTTTTTTCTTAATTTTATTCTTACTTTTATTTTTTAAGGAAATGTAGATGACATTGATACTCTACGGAAAAATATGTTGATTCTTTCAGTTGACAGTTTTATACCAAATTATTCAGTGCCTAGGAGTGGATAGGTGACACTGATATGCAGAAATTCTTTTGTGAGCCATTTTCAATAAATAGATGGAAATGGAATTGTATCAGGTTCAGCACGGGCTGGTGTTCTCACACCACTTGCCATCAGGAGCATCCACTCAGGTTTTTGATGTCTCCAATGTTTATTCAATACTCTTGACACTTTTAAATCTAGTTTAGTGTAATTTTGCTTTTTATGGGGTCTTTTAACATATGCAGCAACAGACTGAAGGAGGACAATTTCAAAATAAAAGATGTTCACTCATCAAAAGCTACTCTAGTATTCAGAAGTAGTGCAAGGTACTCTAGTTCCTAATACAAATTGTCTGTGCACAGTATATGGAAGATTTCCAAAGACTACTGATCAGAACATCAATATACTGCATACAGTGGCTGTGCACTGGAACAGTCTGGTAAACGTGGAGTTATCTTGGAAATCTGTAATTGAATTGAATTCTTAAAAGCAAATGTTTTGCATCTGTCAAAAAAAAAAAAAAAAAAATCAGAATTCAAAGTCTCCCAGGATTCCCAGTACTTAGCTGGAGTAGGAGTGGTTGACTTTTTTTACCTAAATGAAGGTGCTGAATTATGTGTAATAGTTTATAGGTTGCTCTGGGCATTTTCACTGCCCTTTTAGGAAAAAGCGAACATCCGTCTGGAATTCCAAGGCTGAAGTTCCCTTCCCTGCCCACTGAAGGACTCTGTAGTTGTGTGGATAATTACAGGCATAAACCTGGCTGGAGGAGCTCCCGAGCCCCTTCTCTGAGCAGCAGAAAGTAGTTGCCAGTGACCTCTCCCTCTGACTACTGACATCCTGACAGAAATATCTTCTGTTTCTGGGAATGCTGTAATGGGAAAAAAATGAGCAATGGAGCTTTTCTGGCTTATTGAAAGCTCCTCATGCTCCCTTAATTCAGGATCCTGTGGAGCTGCTGAAGTATGTTGTTCATGGTGGGACCAGACTTACAGGATCAAGCTAACTGAGGAGAACTTTTAAGAACCTTCAAAAGGGCTTATATATCATCTGCATTTGGGTTTAGAGATATTGGAGAGTCATGCTAGGGAAGAAATCTCCATCACACTAACCAGGAAGGCTAAGGCTAGCACTCAAACAAGGCTGTATGGTGTTGATAACAGTAAACTGATTTATACTTAAATTGCAATGAATAAAAATAGGAAAAAAGAGAATTTACAGGAATGATATGAAATGCTCATCCAATATAAGCTATTTTCCTGCACCAAGTATTGCTTTTGCTGACTTTGTGGATGTTTTCTCAATATAAATGGAGAGAAAAAAAATGTATATTGTAGAGAATGAAGCCTAACTCAGTAGACTAGAGTGAGTAGTGAGCCCCTCTAGGATATATCACAGAAGAAGAGTCCCTTTTGTCCTTTCTGCTAGTCCAGGTGGAAATACCTTTGAACCATTAGCTGCCAAAAGGGAGAAGCAGAGCTGCAGCTGAGAAGCCTAGATCAGCTGGTCAAAATTGTGGTTGAAAAGAGAGGAGGGAGTAAGATGAGTCAGGGAAAGCCAGTAGTGAAGGCAAACGGCTGTCTGGAAATAGGTCATAGAATCATAGAATCACCAAGGATGGAAAAGACCTACAAGATCATCCAGTCCAATCATCCACCTATCACCAATAGTTCTCACTAAACCATGTCCCTCAACACATTGTTGAATGTTCCTTGCACACCTCCAGGGTTGGTGGTGACTCCACCACCTCCCTGGGCAGCCCATTCCAGTGCCTGACCACTCATTCAGAGCAGCAGTATTTCCTAACATCCAACCTCAATCTCCCGTGGTGCAACTTGAGGCTATTCCCTCCAGCCCTGTCACTACTTATGTGAGAGAAGAGGCCGACTCCCAGCTCCCTGCAACCTCCTTTCAGGCAGTTGTAGAGAGTGATAAAGTCTCCCTCAAGCTTCCTCTTCCCCACACCAAATAATCCCAGCTCCCTCAGTCACTCTACATAAGGCCTGCACTCTAGACTCCTCACCAGCTTCACTGCCCTTCTCTGAACACGTTCCAGAGCCTCAATGTCTTTCTTGTAGTGAGGAGCCCAAAATTGAACACAGTACTCGAGATGCGGCCTCACCAGTGCTAAGTACAGGGGGACAATTGCTTCCCTGCTGCTGCTGGCAACACTGTTTCTGATGCAAGCCAGGATCTCATTGGCTGCCTTGGTCACTTGCGCACACTGCTGGCTCATGTTCAGCTGAGCAGTCAATATCCCCAGGGCCATTTGCTCTGCACAGTCTTCCAGCTACTCCACTCCAACCTATAACATTGCGTGGGGTTGCTGTGGCCAAAGTGCAGAACCTGGCACTGCACTCAGAAGGAAGAGAAATGTAGAAAAGCTAATAGGAAGAAAATGTAAATTGCTGAAATATCTGAAGAAAGCAAGCACAAGCTATAGGAAGCATGAAGAAAAAACTATCAGGGAAAATTATTTATTTATCTGTCTATCCTTATAAGGAACATATGTTGGCTGCTCTGAAAGTAATGCCTTCTATTTATTCCATGAAAAATACAACAGATACCAAGAGCAAAAGAACACTATTTGATAAAGCAAAATCCCAGTCATAAGATGCTATTTTTCAACACAGTTACTACCATTAGCTGTGCATTTTTGCCAGTAATGAAATAGAGCCTGCATGCTATATCTATATGCAAGTGTCTTTTTAAGATCTGAACTTTCAGCGCTGTCCTATTCTCTACGAGATTTTGCTAGTGACTGCTGGCAGAGTCAAAACAAACGATGAACAAGTTTGTGCTTGTACCTCTGACGTGCTGGATCATGGGCACAACCTCCTGCTGCTCGATTTATTTGTTTGCTTTATGATTTTAATGTTGTGCCTTTCCTACGTGTATGACAACATTTATGAAATACTGGTATGTTTGAAAGCTGATTGTTAGGTTTTCTGTTTGCTACCATCTATTGTTATGGATATACTATGGAGACTATTTGCATGCTTTCTATTTTTTGGTGTATGCTCCATTTCTTGATAGTTCTTGATCTCATTACCCTGTTAGGCTCTGAGCACAGTTTGTGCTGCTCTGACTTACTGTCTGTGGAGCACTTTCCAGAACGCCAGCCACTCTGTAAAGACCTTGCAGACTGTCTGCAAAATGCTTCAGTGACAATGTGAACTATCCCCAAACGGCAGATAATGTGTTCACATCCACTGTTTAGTGCTACAAAACTGGGATTTTCAAAATGGTCACAGAAGACTAGCACACTGGTAACCAGTTTGACCTTCGAAGATTCCAGTTTCAGACACTACTAGACACAAGGAAACAAAGCAGTAGGTCATTCCTGTTATTTGAAACAAGTTTGGCCACATGATGAATTTATGTCAGCAGCTTTTTGGCTTTATGTTGTTCCCTTCTCACCCCATGTCACTTCTTCATTGCCAGTGCACTTGACCAGTTTATTGAGTTTAAATATTGGGACTGTCACAACTTTCTAAAATTCTGTAGGAGTTGTGGAGAATCTGCAAACCTGTGGCAGCATGGTCCTACTTTGTGTGCTCTCACTGGGTTTGGCTGGATTTTAATCTCTCTGCTTGCACTTATGCTTTTGATGACATAATCCATGGATCAATACAGCGATAACCCTCAGGGTTTAAGTCAGAGATCAGAATAAAAATCTGGTAATGATGGAACAAAGGAGACATTCCCATATGTTGTTCAGGAGCCATGTGGAGGAGGATACCTTTTGTACTCAGCCACCCTATTTTTAAATGTAGTACATTTTGAATAGGAAGGAAGGATATCAGTTCTGTGAGCCTCAGAGCTTAGTTCACAGATGACTCCCAATCTTTTGATTGGAAAAGTTTTGCATTTTTCTTCAACTTTTCCACTAGTAGCAAAGAGACTTTGCTCCAGATTCACATTACCATCTCACTGT